TGCATGGTGGGATCCACTCAGATCATATGTAGATCCATGTTCTTGGTTTATCATAAGATCCTATGAGATCATAGATCCAGGGCCCAATCTTACCAATGCCGTGGATGCAGATGCCGTGGATGCCTACCACGGCGGCTGAGCCACGGCGCTCCATTTACCCAATCTCACCAATGCCGTGCCACGGCATTTCTATTCACGGCATTTTGCCCACGGTACAATTCAGCGCCAGCAGAAAACACGCGACGTGATTGGTCAATTCTTGTCACCTTCGCTATCGGAAATTGTGCGTATTGCTTGTGAACAAGTATAGCTCTCTATTTAAAGTTTTGTCGGGCGTTTATTTGTTTTAGAGCCATACATATGTGTGAAGGATAAGTTATTTGTGGAAAACGTGATAGCAAACTATGAAAAACTAAAGCCTGCCTAAAGAATTCTCCTGAAAAGCGGATTACTGGCCTAGTAAACTTCCGCGAGGACATTCTCGCGCTGAGAAAATCGAGTGGATTAGATTTTAACTTCGTTTCGCTGCTCATCATTTCTATTTACTTGCTGTTAAGATATTGCAACAATTTTGAGATAAAATTGTTGAAGTAACGACCTAGTGATAGCTCCGCTGTTGTTTCTAAGACATTGGAATAATGCAATTGAAATGCAGCTCGTAAAGTTTACACTTTGGGTACATGCGCCCCCGCCCGGCCAGCTCAAGCTATAGCCTTATTTGCTGCTTTTTACGAGCACGATAACAAAAGGAATTACTCAAAATATTGAAGAATCAAGAAACCCGTCTACATCTCAAAACCATAACATATCAAGAAAAAGGCATTCAGTTCAGAAGTCAGATTGAGACGCATGAAGACAGCATGCTCCGTAGCTGTCTGTGCCAGACAGAAAGTGGTAAAATATGCATTGTGAGTGTTGATACTTTTTTGACAAGTTTACGGTATTTAATTGTTTTAAATATCTACTTAGAAATCATGAAGGATGTTTGTGAGACGTCCGGACGGGGTGAACACTGAAACACCCATATTATAGCATATATAGATAGGTTTGGCATTGGTATGATTGGGCCCAGATGCTAAAATCGCCTCCACGATCTCGTATGGATTTGAAAAATAAGACCATATAATGAATAAACATGTTTATTTTTATGGATTTGAGTGTTATTTTATCCCTGGAAAATACATGTTTTTGAAATAATTACTATGCGTGTAATCGTCGCTCTAAGATGTCAAGGGCATTATATGAAGAATTCTTTACTTTAAAAAAATAATAGTGTCAAATATTGCATAGTAACATCCTCCCAGCGACCTATCCTTTTCACAACACCCGCCATTCACGGCACTAAAAGGTGGCGTGAATGGAACGGCCACCGACAGCGCAAACAGCTGATTATTTGCGTTTGTTCTGCCGCTCTCGCGGCAGCTTGTGCCACTGCCCATGTTAAAGCACTGCCAAAATGCCGTGGATAAGCATCGACCGCATGCCGTGAATGAGATGGCGTGGATAGCTATCCACGGCATTGGTAATATGCCGTTGCCGTGAATGGGCTCCATTCACGGCATTTTGCCTATTCACGGCATTGGTAAGATTGGGCCCAGGATAATTGTTTTCACGCTGGATCCGGTGGGATCATGGATCCTAACCTGCAGTTTGCTTCGAGATTCACTGAGATCATAGATCCATCACTCGGATCGATGCACGTGTCTGTCATTCATCATATTTGTTTTTTTCTGTTTGTTAGTTTTACGCAAGAGTACACTCAAAATCGTTACATCACTACGTAGATAAAAAACAGGAAATTTTGCAAGTTGTCAAATTAAAGAAATAGGGAAGTAAAACAAAATGCATCGAAAATCAAAACTTGTGGAGTCGGTGCTGGCAGGTCAACGTCCTAACGGCGCTGATTTCTCTCTTTCAGCTGATGGTCATCCCATCCAGGCAACCAGTGGTGAGGGTGGCTCCTTTAGGAGCATAGCTGCCTTTCCAGGGTGACCGTTTGGGTGGCTGAGAGGCCTGTTCCACCGCGACACTCCAATCCTTACAGAATGGCCAGAGCCACGGCGATGCACCAAACGGGGGTCCACTCACGTTTGATCGAATCACCATCAAGTCTGTCACATTTCGCCTTCCAATGACCGATGACCCCGCGGGTGACCGATGGGTGTTGCTCGGTGGTGAAAGTTCAACAAATGGCACATTTTCGATACCGAACTGATAAGCATTGAAGTGAAGAACCAGTCATTCCTGTCCGGCACACGCATCTTAAGTCACTGGTTTTTTGTTTTTGTTTTGTTGGATCAGGTCCTTTCGGTCTGACGAGACCATTTCGGAGCCGGAAGGATGATAGGAATTAGGGGGAGACATTGGTCTGGGCACTGGGCAGGCACCCTAGAGAGTCACCGGGGCTGAGCCCGTCCGAATGGACAGGCCGACCAGCCCCAAAGCACTCACTGCACCCGGCTACAGGCCCAGGTGTGCTCCCTTGGGAGCAGCGGTGCCGCTACAAGGGAGCAGCCCGCATAAGATAAAGTTGCCTGTCCAGCCCGGATCGAGGGTTGCGGGATGGATTTGAACATCTGAGGATGGAAACGACGGACGGGTGAGGTCACTGGACTGGCCAATGAACGACGCTAAAAAGCCGACCATTCTCCCTTCTAATAACGCCTTAACAGACTCATCTCGCGTTAATAGGTGACGCCAATTCCAGTCTCCACACCTGTGCGATAATCTTCTCGTAGGTCACTGTCTCTCCGGGCGGCATAGCAGCATATCATTTGTCGCAAGTGGCCTCGTAACGCCTCGCTAGGGGTGGCGACTGCACAGCCCTGCCATCTAGCGGGCAGGCTGGTAGCACTAGTTGACATCGATAGCGGGAATAGTAGAGGTCTCTTGAAACGTCTGTTATGCACATACCATGCAGTACGCTCAATGAACATTATATACAGTTTCGACTCCAAACAGTTAAAGGAAATAGTTCACTTTTTAACATGGGTTTTGAACTGGAATAGCAGTTCCGTAACTTGGGCTGAGACGAGCATAAATCAGGAGCTTTTACAGCCCAACGATCACCCTAGGCAAAGATATTCTATTTCAAAGGTGTCTTGCGTTGAGGATGTGTGCCTTGCATATATTTCCATCCAGTATGAAAAGAGCATGGGTCCCGAAAATTCTTCAGAAACTAGAGAAATTATCTACGAGAACTCTAGAGAAATTCTCGTACTGATCAATTAGGACATTCAGGGGAACATTATCAGATCGAGCAGATCGCCCAAATGCCGGTGGCTGCGATAATTTCTCTGTTTCTGAAGAATTTTCGGGACCCATGCTCTTTTCATACTGGATCGCGTGTGCCTTACAGAAACTGAAAAGTTCTTCCTATATCAAAATAAAGAAAAAAAATATTTTGTTATAAAAAGGTTTTATTTTCTTTGCTGATTATTTTGAACATAAAAAATCATAAATCGTTGCAAAAAAAAATAATTTCGTGAAAGTGAACTATTTCCTTTAAGTTCACTTTGTTGAGAAGGCAGTCTAAACTTGCCACTAAATAACTGCCTCATTAAAAGCCACCACAGGTTCCCATATCACTCATACATAGACCAACAATGAGGCGGGGTAAGCTGCTTATGAATAAGCTTGAAAGCAGTTCAACTAAACAGTAAACACCCTTGAAAACTGTGCCTCTTCAAAACAGTCACAAGGCAATGAGGCTCACATTAGTCAATAGTCATACATGCACTCCATGGATGAATGCTTTAGCAGCAAAATAACATCTGCAATGAACCATTAAAATAATGAGCCCAAAAGGCAGTTAAATGACATTAACCCTATTCCTGGCGGGCTCCGCCGGGACAAGAAACTGGCGGGGGGGGCCGATTCGGCCCCCCCCTGAGATCTCGAGAACGAAGCAAGATAGCGACAAGCGGTAAACGGCATCGGATACGCACGGCCAAGATCTACAATTTTTACAAAGGTCATTTTCAGGTCAGGTCAAAGATGACGTCACAGGGGTCGAAAAAGTCAAAATGGCGGCACTAGATATGGAGAGAGTTTTTCTCGAATAACTTTCCAATTAGTCAAGATAGGAACAAACTAAGGGCATCATCGTGATCCTCTCGTCAATCCGCATCGAATGATATATATGTTGACCTCGAAAGGTCAAGGTCAAAGGTTGACCTCAGGTCACGTGACCTCGAGGTCATCATGTATATCATTCGATGCGTCTTGACGAGCTGAACACAATGAGACCATCCACGCGTCTGTATCTTGTTCCTGTACGGAGTTATTGGCCAAAAACCTTTGGTGACCTTTGATGACGTCACATGACCTCACAGCTGCCCAACAGCAAAACAGACCTCAAGGTAGTGAAGGTTGATCGTATATGAAGTCATGTATGGTATATGGGGCCATTCCGACCCGTTTTAGTGGTAAAAACAGGGAGTTGATTTTTCCCCCATTGACTTATAATGGGGAGGTCGCGAAATTGACCTGACCTTAGGTCACCGATATCAAAATTCCGAGATATACAAATTGCACATACTGGTACCCTAACTAAACCCTGAAGAGAAGAAATTGATCGGTCAAAAACTCTAGCTCTGGCGTGATTGCAAACTTTTCTGAGGTAGCGTCACCAAACCGCCTCTGGTGACCTGACCTGAGGTCAGATCAACTCAAAATTTTCAGACATGTTGCGTAGAAGCCTTTAAAGAAAAGTCAGAAAATTTGAGCTTCCTAGCTCAACGCGTTTGGGAGATATAACCAAAAAACCTCAGGGGGGGGGGCTCCTGAGGCCCCCCCCCCCCCCGCCAGGAATAGGGTTAAGGGTGCAAAGGCATTGCAATGTGTTATCACTACATAAACGTCAATCAAGAAGGTACAGTGTGATTTCTCAGGCACATGTGTGTACTGCATACTTTAGTAATAGTTACATCTTGATCTTTTAGGTATTTCATATGTAGGGCAAGGTGTAATAAACTAATGCTGTTTCTGCACACACTCACCATGTTTGAAGTGATGCCTCTTCAATAAAACTGTGACAGAGCTGAGTCTATCAATCCAATTGTTCTGCAACAAAAAAGTTATTAATGATATACAGCTTAAATTGTCCTGCTATTATAATACACATCAAAGCTAAAATTAACCCGCGAGTTGCTGGGGGGGGGCGTTAAACGCCCCCACTTTTTTCGCCGGGCCATAGTATAAAAACGGCGCGCCGCAGGCGCGCCAAATTTTGGGTACCTGTAGGGAATTAATTGAAGTTTATTGTGACAAAGTTTCAAAAAAATCGGTCGGAAAATTTTTGAGATATCGAGGTTTTAGTGACGTCATGATTTCTGACTTTTCGACCAAAAACGGCATATGTTCAAAAAATCATATAAAATCACAGAATAGACATACAGACATGCCGTAGACGCCATTAGACTGCCAATACCATGATCAATCAAATGGCTATCTTCGATTATTGATTATCGTTCCGCATTTTCCAAAATATTGAACTGAATCTTGGCAATTTTTCTTGACTACTTCACGACCATGATACATGAATTTCTTAAATTGAACTTTTTGAGCCAAACACGTACACATATGATAAAATGAATGTCACCATCGTGTTCTACGCCCCAAAGTACCCATAAAACATGTGTCACAGGCTGCGAATATCAGTTTTGATTTTCGGGGATATGTGCCTACCCGGTTGACCTGACCTTGACCCTGACCTATGCTTGACTGACCCCTATATGAAGCTGACACTCTTGTAGGCCTTATAAGATGGATTGTGCACCGTTTTGACAGAGTTTATGGCGAGAGGCGCCCATTGCGATGTCCTGAAGTCCATGCTACTGAAAGCCCGATTTCAGGTGTTTGACCTGACCTTGACCTGACCTGTGACCTCAAAATTCAACTTTAAAGTACTCATCTGAAGCGTCTTGTCGCGCTCTTTCGTTTGCCGCCTCGTGCGTTTCGCTGCGCCTATTGGTTCTCGAGTTATCGGCTGGGGGCGTTTAACGCCCCCCCCCCCCCAGCAAACGGTGGGTGGCGAAATACCCCAGCAACTGCCGGGTTAAGATAGGTTACTATCAGAAGCCAATAAAATTTAAGAACTGGGAGAGCAGAACACAGTTAAATTGTGCAGAATAGTGGAACATATGAATTATGATGTCACCACCATATGTGATTTTCTCCCTTTGCACCCTTTAAAAAAGCTTCCCTAATTTACAAAACAAAAACATTAAAAGAAAGAACACATACTTCTAAAATTGAAAAGTGAGACCACATATTGATACTTACAATACTTTTTACACAAAACATTTATAAGTTACAACCAACCACAAGGTCACATGGAGTCAGGCAAGGTCATGTTAACTATCCATTGCTGGGTAGGGTTAGGTCCAGTGAAGTTTGATTAGGTTGTTATTTCTGCTTGTAGTGTACCTGATTTTTCTGCATTAAATGATAGCATGCTGCATAAACAATTTTCTGAGTTGATAAATGGTTTATGAGAATGTTTTCAATTTAGAGCCTAGGGTGCAAAAAGCCAATTCCACCTCAAAGCGCACCATATTTAATTTATTTTGTTCACTAGCTTTAACATGATTTGGATTGATGCAACATGACTAGTCTATTTTCATGAGCACTTTCATTCAATTTCCTCAGTTTCCTGACTACAGAACCATTATGAGGTTTTCAGCCTTTAAGGCTGACCAGATAGGCTCTTTCCGCATTCAGGAAATCAGATGTGAGAGCCTATTCAAATACATTATAATTCTTCACGAATCACGCATCAATCGCATGCGGTAAGTGTGTGCGATCATTGCAAGTATGCTGTCATGTATTTAAGTAGGCTCTCACTCTCGCAGTGATTTCCTGGCTTGGGCTGGAAAGAGGTTTCAGGCTTTAGAATTATGCAGGTTCATGCTTGACTAAGCAAACTGAAGTACAGCAAAACTAGTCACTGTTGGAATTTGCATGTCATGAATGATATTGAAATTGATAATGAAAAAACGAGATAAATGTTTAATCAAATTCAAATGGTCGGAAAAATGAAAATTTGAAATTCAAGAAATTGAAATCAAGTAATACCCACGCTAAGCTTGAGCTTGAGAAAAGGCAAGCAAAACAAAAAACTCACCACTTATCTGTTGCTGTAGTTTTATAAATTCGCTTCAAAATAAATTAAGTAAAGTAAATTCAGTAAGTAAGCCACCCATGTAACCCACATTCGCCGCTCTCTCTGCGTCGCGTTGTATTTGTGTATTTGTTTTGGAACATAACTTAGCCCGCGTTCGATGTCTCCCGGACGGCGAAGATTCTATGCTGTCCGGGCGGTTTATATAGCCTTGGTCCGGGCCCAAAATGCCGTTCGATGTCGCACGGACGGCAAAGATTCTACGTGACGTCACGTAGAATCTTTGCCTTCCGCGCAGAATCTTTTGAGCGTACTACCATGGAGGAAGGAGTACTTCTCCTCCATGGTACTACGGTGGGCAGAGAGGCAATGATGGCGCGTATTTCAAAAGCGGCGCAGCAGCTGTTTACAGAAGTTGTTGACATTTGTGCGCGGTCTCTATGGAAACGTAAACTTGGGCCTTTTTCGAAACTGACGCACATTGTGTAAGTGGCGCACAAAATGGCCGGTCTCGTCGTCCGACTGTGTGCTTCATCGAACGCAAAGTAGAATATTCTGCGTAGAATGTTCTTCGTCCGAGGAGACATCGAACGCGGCCTAAATCTAATCAAGGATAGGTATAAATCGGGAAGATTCGTTGACAACAAATTTGCAGCCTTATGCTGATGCGAAGAATGGTATGTACAAAATGAGCTTTCATCTTTATGCATAAAAATATACCTATATCCCTTTGTATATTGTCATCAGCAGATTCCGTATAACCGTATCACCTGTATATATGCATCACTATATATGGCCTTGTATGCATCTCTACAGTGTAGGGTAGCCTGGGGCAAGACGCCCCAGATAATTTATTTTGCTGCATAAATTTTGTCCCACATCACCTGGAAGGCCAAATTTGTGCTCAATGCGTTCTTTGGACATTTTACTTTAAATTGCACCCCTCAAATTGATTCACTTATGATCGGACTCCAAGCTAGGAAGTGATTTGTGAAGCAACTGCAAATGGGGCATTTTGCCCCAACCCCAGGGCAAAACGCCCCACGGCCTGGGGCAAGTAGCCCCATACTTTAGATTAAAGATTTAACATGGTAGTTGGCTAAATCTTATGTGAGAGGTCCGTTAGACCTCTGGAGGCACGGCACTGAAGTTAGCACATTCCATCCTGTCAGGTGCTCAGCTATGACACTATTGTATGAGCAGGTTTTTCACCTACCTCATAAGACCAAATAATAAATTATTGCAATGCAAATGTTGACAAAATACTTCCTGTGCCATCCAGTTGCTGAGAAAAATACACATAAAGGCATAGAAACTTACTGTTCGCCAGCTACCGAACATAAGGAAGTGGGTAGCCCGAACAACACATGAGGTAAAACGCCCCAGGGGCTTTTTGCCCCGCGACCTACTGGGGCGTTTTACCCCATCACGTAGTTCGGTCAGAGAACAACGCCTTGCACTCCAGCAAGACATAATTTAACACGAACCAACCCGGCATGATAAGCGTTAGACAATAGTTGTTCAAAATACATAAAAGTCGTTAACCTAATGTGGACCATAAATGAACGCCATGATACATAATCTGACAACAAAACATAAAAATCACTCAAAAAACACATTTTTGGCTATATCTCCCGAAAGAGTCATCACAATTTCTTTCCAGTCTGCTCATATAATGATCATATAGTGCACGTTTTATAGAAGAGATGATGTTTCCCCAGAACCCTGCCAGTTCCGAGAAACATCGGTGAGGCGTTTTACCTCGGCGGGGCGACTTGCCCCGGTCTACCCTACACAAGGCGATATATACTTAGACAGTGGCGGCGGAATAGGGGGTGCAGGGGGTGCAGCAGCTGCACCCCCATCGAAAAACATGGGGGTGCAAACGTATCTTTTTGCACCCCAGAAATCCGTACAAGGGGCCCGTCACACCATCCAATACATTTTCTCCTGAAAACCACTGATCGGGAAACGAACACTGATGTGGAATCATTCGGGATGTCCAATTATGGCCAGGAGCGCCTCATGCTAGTCTTTGGGGCCCCACACCGGCTAGAAGTGTCTCGAGCCGCGTTTGGTGCTCCATGCGGCATCTGAGGGCCCCCACGACGGCCTTTTATGACGATCTCTGAGGACTCCCACGGCGACCTCTGTCCCCTGGGACCCTACAACGGCCACTAAGGGCCCTCATAACGACCGCTAAGGGTCCCACAGAGATTCCAGGGCCCCAAGGAGACTCCAGGGGCCATGCTGGCCCCTGAGGGCCCCTATGACGGCCTCTGACTTGAGGGCCCTTACGATGATCTCTGAGGGCTCTCACGACGACCTCTGTCCTCTGGGGCCCTATAATGACCACTAAGGGCCCTCATGACGACCGCTGAGGGTCCCACAGGACTCCAGGGGCCCCGCTGGCCTCTGAGGGCCTCTACGACGGTCTCTGAGGGCCCTCGTGACGGCCCTAGACCAACTCAAGTCTGAAGGCCCATTTGGCTTCAGACGGCCCAGCGACGGCCTCTGAGGGCTCCAACACAACCAGGCTGCAAGGGCTGCAAAATCAGATGCTGGCTATTGAGGGCCCTAACGATTGCCTCTAGCGGTCTTACCAAGGCCTCTGAGAGCCCTGCAAAGGTATCTGAGGGCCCATGAAGACCCTCACTATGGCCAAGGACCCTCATGACGACCTCTGATGATCCTTTCGAAGGCTTCTAAGGGCCCTCACAATAACTTTTGAGGACCCCAGGACGGTCTCTGAGGGGCTGAGGGCCCTGACGACGACCTCTCTGGGCCCTCACGATGGTCTCTAAGACCCAACGCAAGCTCCAAAGGCCCACGCTGGCGTCTGAGGGCCCCACGACGGCCTCTGAGGGCCTCGACGCAGGCAGGCTCCAGGGGCCATGCTGACCTCTAAGGGCCCTCTTGACGGCTCATCTAGGGCTTAACGAAGGCTTCAAGGGCCAACGCTGGCCTCTGAAGAACCCTACGACGGCCTCGGAGGGTCTCAACTCAACGCAGGCATGTGCCAGGAGACATGGTGGCCTCTGAGGGCCCCGCAGAGTTCAGATTCAGAGAACCCAACGACCTTTGTGGACCTTACGAAATACGAAGGTCTCCGAGAGCTCACGCAGGGCCTGGAATTCCACACTGATTCTCAGGCCCCATGTCGGCTTGTTGAGGCACTTTATCTGCTCTTGGTGCCCCGTCGCCGGCCTCTGAGAGTCTCAATGTCGGAACGTATGGGGCCATGGGCCCTACACCGGCTTTTATGGCCCCTATATCGAAATTTGGACTCATGGCCCATGAAATAACATCGGCTCCTGTAGCCTCCATCCCGGCTTTGGAGGGCCTCCATACAGGCTTTTTTGGGTCCGATGCCGGTTTCTGAGAGCCCTCAAAAGACTTTATACTACCTTCTGAAACCTTTCAGCAACTTTCAAGGGACCGACCCTGATCGGAGGGCTCATTCAGTCTGGGGAGTCATGTAGGTCTCTGGAGGAGTCTCTATGTGGTCGGTTTCCAAGGGGCTTCTAAACACGGTCTTCTTGGAACTGTCTCGTAGGGCCCTCAATGGTCCACTGCGGGTCCAGAAAAGTGGTTTGAGACGCTGCGAGTGGTGGTTAGAGACAAAAAGATTAGCCGATAAAAAACTAGCTGCATTTGCTTCCTTATGCTTTTATTTTTTGAGATAGGTAGGTAGGTACACTGCAATTTCAAACAATTTACAGAACTTGTGTGTATGGGGATAGTTTTCCAAAATCTTCGTTTTTCATAAATCAATAATATTCAATCAAAAAAAAAAAAATGAAGGGGAGCCCAAAACTTCCAGAGGGGTCCCTTGAGAAAACTTTGCACCCCCATCCTTCTTATTCCTTACCTTCCGCCGCCACTTTATACTATTGTTCATATGCATCCTTCTACCTACTGTGGAAAAGCAGGTTTATTTTTGGCTTCCCGCTTCACTCGCAGCAACATGAACTCTATAATGCTCGCAACACTCGCGGAAGATTTTTTTTGTGGGAGCGGCGAGCCTCATGTCTAATTTGTTTGAAACATAGGCGGCGGAACGGGGGCACCATGCCCCCTTTTGATTTTTGGCATTTTAATACTAGCCCACTGGTTTGAAACAAAATTGACAGCCGAGGCATGAGCTCATGCGATTACAATGGTTGAGATCTTTCACCGTTCGACAGCAATGACTTAGGACAGGGTAAGAATCTTGGGACAGGGTCCATTTTTCGTTTTTGCAAGTGGTCATTTTACGAGTTTTGGGGGCCTTACGGGCCTTAAACGTCAATGGCACAATGCAACGGAGACCGTTTTGGAGAAAGTTGCTTGTCTACTTCTAGTGGTGGGGCATCTGTGTGCCGCCTTGAACGAAATCGGGAGGCATGGGTGGAGAATGTTTGAAAAAGTTACCCCGGCCGGCGACCGATAGTCGGAAAGTCGACTAAGCTCACGTTGTTGTCAACGATCATCATAAACAAACCCCTATTCTGACCCATGGAAATGGAATAATGGACGTTGTGTTTGTTCAAGGGTGAGCGTTGTATCCGACATTGTATCATTCATAACATTCTTGGCGATGACTGAAAAGGCGATTTTCTTGTGATTTTTTTTAGCTCACCTAGCTTTCAGCTCACCTCGTAGGAGCTTTACAGAGAAAATTGAACGTTCGAACCAAAACACTAAAATGGGTCACTGACATCCAGGGACACAGTCTTTTTCAATGTTGGGTGGCTCAACCTCTTATAAGACAAATAGGGAGTCTATCCAGGGATATCGACCGGTCCCGGTCTCGTAGCTCAATCGCTTGAGCGTTGGACTCCGCGTGGCGAGAGCACGCGTTCCGGTTACAACAGTCCGAGCTCGAAGCGTGACGGACGCTCGGTATATGAGCATCCTGACGGCTACGCCCTGACGGTATGGTTGCGGTTTGTGGCAGGCCAGTCGAAGGCAGTGAGGTCAAGCAGTGGTTCTAAAAAAGTGCGCCGAAGGCGCGCCTAATTTTCGAACCTGAACACGATTTGAGAGCAATCTTGGCATTGGCAACCACACGCGGGTCCTAGGGCTCAATGCCACCGCATGGTAAGTTCAGTACCTAAATAGTGTAAATACCTTCCTGATTTGTTGATTTTTTTTTTATACTACCGCCCATGGCAGTCAACATCCGAAAAACGACAGTTTTCTTTTCTCGTATGGCGACAGCTTTTAGGATTTACAAGAGTGGAAAAGTTACCCCGGCCGCGCCGGGGTAGGCTGAAAGTTACCCCGGCCACGGCCGGGGTGGCCGGGGCAGGTTCTCCACCCATGTCG